TCCCAAACCAAGATAACTATTTGCATTTCTTATTTTGAAGGTCATCTAAACCATTCAAGCTTCTATCTCTAGGCTATAAAATTCATATGCAATTGTACAATTTATTATTTTGAATATAGAAAGTATATGTAATTAAGAATAACATTCATCAAACGCCGTAAATACTTTATGGGGACGTGAAGTCAATTGTTATGGCATGCACATATGAACGCCGTAAATATTTTTTACGGCATGCATTTTTTTGCACGCGCTACAAAGAGACTTTTTTTTACGGCACACGTCAATTGCACGCCGTAAACATATGCCGTAAAAAGCTATTTTTTGTTGTAGATATGTATACGTTTTTATTTGTATGTTTAAGAAGATTTAACTTGGTGTCGTAAAATAAATCAGTCACTTCTTGTAATGTTTAAATAAAAATATTAATATTCTCTTTGCTTTTCCAAATCATCTTTAGGTTATCTCTCCTCATATGATTATGGAAAATAATGCTATAGGTCATTGAGTTTTTACGTGTCATTCAATTTAGTCATTGACCATGAACTTGCAAATAATATAGAGCAAATTATGAGGAAGGTTGGTCTGTCACAAAACTTTACTGGAACCTAGAAAAGCTTTTAATTTATTTATTTTTCCAATTGCCTACCAAATTTGTACAGGTGTTGAATGAAATATTTAACATAAGCTCAAAAAAAAAAAAATCACTATTCTATATATACGATTAATCTTAATTTTGATTTCAACCTAGAGTGGTCTCTTGCGACAAGTATCGGCCGAATGACGAATTCAATTCAATTTATTTGACTTTTAGATCCGATAAAGGTAGGTGAGTTTATATTAGAAATAAAATAAATAATTAAGAAGTCGAACATTTAACGATGATTAATGAATGTATTTTGATAAGAAATTGGTATTATAATAATGATAATTCGAATATTTTTGGTGATATATAGTATATGTTGATTAATCTAATTTTAAATTTTAAATTATCAAAGACGAAGAATTTCTTAATGAATATCATTTCATTCCAAAGATATATTAATCAAAGATCTTATACTCAGATGTTCCCAAATGAACGAGGATTATACTTTAGCTAATTATCAATAATACCATTTAATTGTCAATCAAATTACTTGACAATAATAAAACCCTAAATTCCACAATTTAAGGCAACCTATTCCAAACAAAATTCATCAACCTCGAAAATTTTCAATTTTCTTTACATTTTTTTAGGATCCATTTCTAAATTTCGACATCACAATTTCTCTGTCTTTCTAAAAGGTGCATATCGATCCCTTCTCGTGGCCTATTTCTCCAATTTCTTGGTCCAAAAGTCCTGTAATGGCAGATATAAGTCCCTTCAAGGGACTGGAAACGTCAGCATCCGACGCCGCCTCGGCGCCGCCGGCACATGCATTATCCCTTGTCCAGCCTTCCACCAAGAAAAAACGCAAACCCGTCAAAGTATTCCGACTTCTCCGATCAGTTTTCCGGTCATTCCCTATCATAACTCCGGCAGCCTGCAAGTTCCCTGCCCTTCCCAGAGGGCGCTTGCCTGACACCCGCACCTCCGCCGCAGGCTCTCGTATCACTGGCACGCTTTTCGGGTATCGGAAAGGCCGCGTCAGCTTCTCCATACAAGAAAACTCTGGGATCGTGCCGTCGTTGGTGGTCGAGCTGGCAATGGTAACCAATGTGTTGCAAAAGGAAATGAGCCTCGGATTGGTGAGAATCGCCCTCGAATGCGAAAAACAAATCCAAAGGGAAAAGATAAAGCTCCTGGAGGAGCCATTATGGACAATGTATTCTAATGGAAAGAAAATTGGTTATGGCGTTAAAAGGGATGCCACGGAGGAGGATTTGCATGTCATGGAGGTGCTCAAGGCGGTGCCGATGGGAGCCGGTGTGTTACCAGGGCGGTCGGAGGCAGAGGGACCGGAAGGCGAGATGGCCTATATTCGAGCACATTTCGAACACATTGTCGGATCGAAGGACTCGGAGACACTTTACATGTTGAGTCCCGATAAAAACAACGGACCTGAGTTGAGTATTTTCTTTGTTAGAGTATGATGATTAGTCCTTGTTAGAGACATTTACGCAGAGGAAAAATGTATATTAGGGAAGATCAAAGATCTTCAACATGGACACAACATATTGTGCATGTCGATCAGGGACGGATTCAGGATCGGACTACAGGGGGTAATACGTAAAAAAAAAAAAAAAAATACACATGAATTTTTTTTTACATAAAACCTTTTTTTTCCTAAGTAAAAAAAAAAAAAAATTTGTGTGGTACCATTCAATTCGATTCGTTGTTCATTAATTTTTTATTTTTTATTTTTCTTAAGAGAGAGAAACCAGATGGGGTAAGTGAAGGTCAAAAATCAATCTAGGCGTTGGTAATTTCTTCACTTAGAGCCTGGAATTTTATAGCATCATATATACATGTGTGGACTATTACACACTGTCCAACATTAATCTTTCACTTGTCAAAGCGAAACCCTCATAGATTTGCTCAGTGCAAAATCACCAAAAGACTAATCGACTGTCTGATCAATCAATGCATTCAA